GGAAAAAAAAAAAAAAAAAAAAAATTGGGGGTAAAGTTAAAAAGCATTAAGACAAGAAATACCAATTCTCTTTTTCTCTGGTGCAATGATCTCAGCTGCTATGCAGGAACACATGCATTTAAAGCGTGACAGCCAGTCCAGAATAATTATTCACGAACGCAACGATCATTGCTTAATACAGCCGCAAAATGGAGTATTAAACTGCTCCCTCATCCCCACGTTCTACAAAGGGCAGTTTTGGTTAGATCTTTCCGAAGAGTTCTGTTTTAAGGAAACACACTGTCAAGGCGGGTTTTCAGGCAATGCCTTGACGAAGCAGTGGGCGTGTTCTTGGCATTTGTCACACTGTTAGTGGGAAACGCTCTGAAACCACAACCCCAAAGCTGCCAGGTAGTAAGCAAGGGGTTGAGGGCAGAACCAGCCTCATTGGCTGGAGATCAATGGCAGAGGTTCTTCAGACTTTAAAATATGAACAAGAACATTTCTATTCACCTGAGATTGCAAGCAGCATTTTCCTCCTGGCACCGAAAGTTGTAATTCCCAGCTCCTTCAGATCCTGATCTGTGAGAGTGAGGAATGTCTGAAGATCGATCTGTGGGTGAACAAGTCGTCTATAATCAATAATATTAAGTATCTTTCTTCTTCAGCATAAATTCTACTCATTGCTACACTTATTTTATTTATTACACTCTGCCTACTTTCAAACAAGAATGGTGGGGACAATACAAACCTAAGGGACAAGAATTAAGTAATAAAGGTGGTAAAATGAAAGTGATGATTCTAGCAGGAGACTTAATCTAAGCCAGTGATTTACTGCAATTGAGATATAAACTTAGGCATCCTAAGGTCTTAGCATCCTGGCAGCCAAGGCAAAAAGGGAAACAGAAACTGCACAGTTTTGTGATCTGATGAAAGGAAGAATACATACTTGTCCAGAAGAGAGAAAATAATTCTTAGTTTTAGATTCTGACTTGGTTAAGTATATCTCCATAAAAAGAGACTGAATAATACCATAAAGGGTATCTTCCATTGTGTTCTACATAAAAATGATGGCAGAATTCACAGTCTAACCTCAGACCCACGACTCACTTTGCTTAACCCAGCAGACTATCTCTGAAAGTGGCATACATGAAGTATTTCTAGCAACAGTACGAATGTACTCCCTGGCAACAATGTGTGAGGGGAAGTAGCTCAAGAATCCCACCACTCCTTGTGAAGACTGTGTGAGGAACAGAAAGGCAATGGGGCTCTGAAGCCAGAGAGACTTGGGTTCAGGTTCTGATTCTGCCATTACTAGTTGTGGGCACTGGCAGTTGACAATCCTATATACCTCACAGGGTTGTTTTGGGCCTTAAATATGATCTTAGATATAATGCAGTGTGCTCACCAAAGGGGTAAAATAGTTGGCAGCTATAGTTAGTAATAATGTATACAGACATATCATCTGTGAAAGTTGCTAAATAAATCTTCATCCTGGTTACAATATATTAAATCTCACAAGGTTACTTAATGGGGGATTCTTGTTAAGTCATATCTGTATATGAGAAAATATCCTACATAAAGGGAATAGTACCAAATTTCAACAAACCTGAAAACAGTAAAATATACTTTTCATTCAAATTATATAGAAATTAATTTGAAATTTTCTGTTTTGATTTTGAAGGTTACATCCAGATCTTGAAAAACCTTTTCATTTACCATTTATCACAAATCTAGAGATATGTTTCTTAGAAATTCTGTCCAGTGGAGACTATTTTAGGGATCCTCAAACTCTTTTTAAAGGGCCAGAGAATAACTATTTTAGGGTTAGTGGGCATACTGTCTCTGTTGCAGCTACTCAACTCTGCTGGTTTAGCTTGAGAGCAACCACAGGCCATATGAGGTAACTGAGTTAGTGTGGCTGTGTTCCAATGAAACTTTATTTACAAAATTAGGCAGCAGGTCTGCAGGCCGCAGTTCACTGACCCCTGCTCCAGTTAATATTAGATGAAGCCAGTCTAACTTTATATTATCACGTTTTCTTCCTTTTTGAAGTAACTAGATAAGAAGTCCCCATAATAAATTTCTATGCTTCTTCAAATAGCAAATAGAGATTTAAAGCAAACCCAGAATATCACTGAATAACATCTAGTCACTTACTTCTAAAACCTTCTGTGCATGAGCAAGTTAAAATACCTCAGCCCTGAGCTTCTCAATCAGCCACCTGCATCTAACCAGGAAGACTAAGTAAGTAAATGCAGTTCTTTAATGCACTGATGATGAACGTGTTATTCAACTTAGAAAATCCTTGGTTAAATGAACACTAATTTAGGTTTAGGGAAAAGAAAACAAAATCATTGTCCTAAAGTCCAAAATACACATGACAACATTTTTCTTGGTGTTAAAGAACAAAAAAAGTTCAGCAATTAAACTTAAGTTATGGGCAATACATTAGATTTATGATATAAAGTGCCTTATAATAAAAATCTTAGATTATTTACTGACTGATGCATGCCAGGGAATTACTGGCATGTAATCTAACATGAAATGAAGCCCAACTAGCATGAAACTTGGACCATGTCAGGATTTGAAAAACAGATACATTTAGAGAACTATTCTAACTTTCTGTTGCCTTGAGTTAGCTGTGCCCTGGTAATATGACAACACAATTAGAAAGAACCACACTTAGGGGCTCTTTGCTTTATGCCAGTGCGTCACGGCCACGGCTGATCAGTCTGGCCAAAATCCATGGTAGGGATGTTTCAGAAGACATCTTAGTTCTGCCTCAGTTCAGGCAAAACCCAAACAGTAAATTAATGAATAGGTTAACATGTATAAAAAGTGCAATGTCTTCTGTGAGAACCTCAGTAACATGATTAGGATGGTGTCACAAACAACCATAGTTATTTATTTCAGACGCTGTTATTTACTTTTAAGTGCCACAATAAAAATAAGAACAGATGAAAGAGTAAAATCTGATTAAATATAGAGTTGTTGCTGACCTTAGGGAATTTGTGAATCAAAAGTTCCTATAAATCAAGACACTCATTAGGTCTTTTAGCTAAAACTGATGAAGGTGTTTTTGCAAACATAGTTTCCTACATTTCTGTCATCCTGTGTTTACCAGTTGCACTAAATAAGAAATAAGATGGCGACAATTTTCTTGGCAGCAAAAATAAGCTATGAGACTTGAATAAAGGCTCAGCGAAAACACAGTCATAGGTAAATGAGTGATTTCATTCTAGAAGTCATCATACACACAACCAAAACGAAGATGCCTGGGAAGATAAATAAATAACCACCGACCTCTTGTTGCTGGAAGACGTCTGTGTATTTGCCCAGGCCCAGTTTGCTGAAGAGCTCAGGGAGGTCAGAGCCTTTGAAAGAGCTGTTCAGGTTACAGCCATTGCTTCCTGTCAGCGAGGAAATGCAGTCCATGTAATTGCTACTGCTGAGATAGTGCTCCGCTGAAAGGCAGAGGAAAGACAGGCCTGAAGTGTAAATGCCCAGGGAGAGCATGGTTTAATTAAAAGTTTTAATCACTCAAATAGTTCAGATTCAGTGTTTTGGGCTGAACAGACCAACAATAACTGCAGAAATGCAGCAGTCCTTTACTGAAACACTGGCTTTTCATTAAGGAAATACTGGTTACGGCTTTCAGGGAGGCTCTCGCCATTTAAAAGGTTACACTTGGGAGGGAGCAATTCGGCAACAGGGCCTCCGTAGTTAATAATCATTAAGCATATTCTCCCTGAGCATTCAGGAACATTGGCTCTTCACAACTGATTTGATGTGAATTAAACGAGGAAGTGGAAGCAGGACCCCTAGGACACAATAAAGGTAAGGAAAGTTACAGGCTCCTTTTAGATGCAGGCTGGCCCTCTGTATCCACACTTGTGCTTTCCTGTGGTCAAATAAATACTATGATATTATCACATATAATTCATTTCCCTCAAACATAATTGGGCAGTGAGTTCATGAAATAGAGTGCTTCCAAAATTAAGAGTAACATATGAATGAAAAGAATGATGCTGGAGTTCCTGGATTTAACTTACAACAAAAACAAATCCATCTCCTGGGGGAAACTCTAAGACAGCCATGCCGAGCTTTGCCTTGGCTCTGCTACTGATCTGGTGGGCGAAGGTTTCTCCATGTTGTCTGTGGTTCTCAGACCCAAGGACATGCACAGCTGCATGACAGACTAGTGAGCCACACCAAGTACTTGACCAAATATTCAAACATTCTTCAGGAGCTACTTTGGAGAATCTAGCAGAGCTATGCAGCCATTCCTACCACCCTGACCAACAACTGACTCTCAACCATGTGGAAATTCTATCCTCTTATACTAAAGATGCAGCTTCAGGGAGATTCCCAGATTGATGAGGGCAGAGGACATTCACCTAGGTATCGGATCCATCTAATCTCCTCTGGGATCAGTGCATTCACCAAATCTAAGAATTTTGTTCTCCATTGCACTGGGTGCCACTAATCACTTTCTCTGGTTGTTTTCATCTCCCAATTGAGAAGTCCTATATATGTTTCAAGTGGAAGGAATTTCTTTTTTTTTTTTCTTTTTTTTTTTTTTTGCGGTACGCAGCCCTCTCACTGTTGTGGCCTCTCCCGTTGCAACGCGCAGGCTCAGCGGCCATGGCTCATGGGCTTAGTTGCTCCGCGGCATGTGGGCTCCTCCCAGACTGCGGCACGATCCCGCGTCCCCTGCATCAGCAGGCACACTCTCAACCACTGCGCCACCAGGGAAGCCGGAAGGAATTTCTTGATAAGGTTTCTTTTTCATTTAAAAACAGGTATTTTATGTCTTGTAGGAAGAACATGTAGGGTAGGGAAAAGGACCCAGGACCAAGCCCTGATGCGCTGAGCACTGGAACACTCCACCAATTGAAGGTAAGGCCCCAAAGTCACCAAAAAAGATTGAGGAGGAATGACCAGTGAGGTACCGCTTTGAGGGTGACACAAAGCAGAGTATGATGAGCACACTGGAGTGACCACTGGACTTGAAAACATGGAGGTTACTGTCAGGCTGACTACATAATTTACTGTCCAAATGATAAATTTACTTTCTTTGAGGAAAAAAAGAAAAAAAAGAGGGAGTTACTGAGGAATTACAGTGGAACAACTGGTGAAACAGGGATACCCAGAGAAAACCTAGACATTGGTGACCTTGAGATGAGTGTCAAGAAAACTTTTCTAAAACTTCGTTGTTCAATACACTAGCCGTTGGCAACATGTGGCTATTAAGCACCTAAAATGTGCTAGTGCAGATTAAAAATGTATTCTAAGTGTAAAATACCACATACCATATTTTAAAGACTTAGTACAAAAAAAAGACAATGTAAAATATCTTTACATTGATTACATGTTTAAATGATAGTAATTTACATATGTTGAGTTAAGCAAAGAGATCAGCAAAAAGTGAAAAAAATATTTTAAAATATTCTTAGTGATAAATATTTATTATGGTACACAACTTTTTTTTACATTTCTTTTCATCTTAACTACTTATAGTATCTATATTCTCTTTTAAACTCCCTAGGCTCTTAAAACATCGGACAAAGGCCAAGGAGCAGTGCTTTTTTAATCAATCTTTTTAAATTAATGAATCCCCTGTCTTAACCCTAATCCTGAATTTCAATGCAGCTAAGTCACACAGTCAATTTTAATCATCCAGGATTCAGTGCAGGGAAAGGGGATAAAGATAGAAGTAGAGAGGCACAAAGCTAATTGATGCTGGAATATAAAACGGAGATCATTTCCACCCCGAGATGTGCACCTGGCACCAGCCTGCCTCTCAGCTCCACTGTTCTGTCAGCGGTAGAGGACCTAGCCCAGGACTAACAGGAAGACTCTAGGCTACTACTGACAGTACACTTGGGAATGAAAGAGTTGACCATGCTTTCTTATTTAGACTTGGCCGACACCATAACTGGTCTTTTCAAATCTGAGACTCTTGACAACATGGCCCACTTGATTGATGGTAACAACTGGCTGTTACTGTTTACTAGGCTCATTTAGATTGCCTTTCTCCAAGTATTCTTCAAATACTCCAGGGTATGTATTTCAGGAGTCCAGATTCATCAAAAACCCTGAAATAAGGCATTAGGGGAATATCTTGTGATTACTGTGTCAGTTCTCGTCTGTTTACCTATTTATACGACATGTGGGTGCCGTTACAGACACAACCACTGGACTCATGCTGCGTCTTAATCGTATTTGTTCAAAGCCTATGCTTTAAACGTTTTTTTTTCCTGATAATTTCATTTAGCTACCTCTTGTCAATTTGAAAAATCTTGCTCTTCACCTTTGGTAGCCAAAGGTGACTGGGCAGACTTCCATTGTCTAAGATACTAATTTGATCACATTCTGCTCAACTCCTTTACATCCCTGCCTTTTCCGCATTATTCTGATGTTTGTGTGTGCATGACTCATTTGTATATTCATTCCACAAACATTTACCAAGCACCTGCTAGGTGTCAGACACTGTTAGACATTTGAGAAGAAATAATAAATTAAGAAAGAAGGCACAGCCTCCTGTTAGTGGGATTGTAAATTGATGAAGACGCTATGGGAAACAGTATGGAGATTCCTCAAAAAATTAAAAATAAAATTGCCATATCCAGCAATTTCACTTCTATTTACCCAAAGAAAACAAAAACACTAATTCAAAAGGATAAATGCACCCTATGTCCACTGCAGCATTATTTGCAACAGTCAAGATATGAATGCAACCTAAGTGTCCATCAACAGATGAACGGATAAAGAAAAGATGGTGTGTGTGTGTGTGTGTGTGTGTGTGTGTACACACACACACACACACAATGGAATATTACTCAGTCATAAAAGAAAATGAAATCTTGCCATGTGCGACAACTTGGAGGGATCTAGAGGGTATTTTGGTAAGTGAAATAACTCAGAAAGAGAAAGGCAAATGCTGTATGATCTCACTCATATGTGGAATCCAAAGACAAAAACAAAGTGAAAACAGACTCACAGATACAGAGAACAAATGGGTGGTTGCCAGAGGGGAAGTGGGGGTGGGAGTGAGATGAAGGGGATTAAGAGGTACAAACCTCCTTAGTTGTAAAATAAATAAGCTACAGGAGGTCACACACAGCGTAAGGAATATGGTCAATAATATCGTAATACCTGTACAGAAACAAACAGTTACTAGACTTATCGTGGCGATCATTTCATAATGCCTGCAAATGTAAAATCACTAGGTAGTACACCTGAAACTAACATAATACTGTACACCAACTGTATTTCAATTAAGAAAAAAGAAAGAAGGCACAGCCTAAAAGAATGCTCGCCACATGGGCACTAAATAAGTGTTTACTGCATGAATGTAGTCCCTGACTTGTGGAGCTCAAATTCTACAGGAAAAGACAGTTATGTAAGTGTACTTCAGTATGACAAATGCTAAAATGAAAGCATATACAAAATGCAGTGCAAGCAGAGAACCATGTGCCCTGCTTCACTGGAAAAAAAGCAGGGAAGGCTTCTCAGAAGAGGTGGCCTGTGAGTAATCCAAAACACTTGAAGGCCTGGAGTCCAGAGTTTATACTCGAACATTACCCTAAACCAACTAAACAAATTCCAAGCTGGTTACATCTAAAAGTATGACGAAAAGTCAAAGCTCACTTGATTTGTTCTGTTTACGCTTGGGGCTGCCAATAGAAGCTGCAAATTCACTATGACTTGCGGGTCCTATTCCATTTCGGTCTCTCCAGTTATCGGATTCGCTTCCACTTCCCAGGTGTTCACGACTGTTGGACCTCGAGAGGGACATTGATGAACCCTGAAAACAATCAAAGCCAGATAAGGAAATGTTTAATAAGGTAGGTTTGCCGGGGTGGGAGGAGAAAAGAATACACATTAGACCATTTATTTTGATTGCTGGCCAATGCAGTTACCCACGAATGCTGATTCTCAAGAAGAGGCTATGGGACCTGTCTATAGTCTTTGTCTTCCAGCTACCAAGGACACTTGGAAATACAAGCAGTGAAGTGTTTTTCCTTCGTTATGAGGGAGTTGATGATGAGGGCGCCCAGAGGAGTTCTGAGATCCCCGAGTATAAAGATTCATTCCTATAAGATTTAGAGGATTCCTATTTTGGGGAACAAGGCAAATCCTCCATCTGGTAGAGCAGAGGTTCTCTGCGTTGTATCACACAGGACGAGTAGGGAAGCGGTGTAGCTACACCCAATGCTTTGACAGGAATCGAGCTCCCAGGCTCACAGAGTGGAATGGTGGAGAGGAATCTGGCATTATGTCCTGTGTTAACTCTCATTCAAATAAGTACATGACCTCTCCAACAAATTACAAGTACCTGGAAATTTTAACTTTTTTAATTCCCCCAAATCAAAATAAAAATCGTAATTTAAAAGATCTCACAGTTTGCACTGAACTTGCATTTATTCATTCTTTATTCATTTATTTAATCACTGTATTACAGGTACCATACTTTGTACTATATCTACAGTATTAAAGTCAAGATTCTCTGATTCTAAAAGTTTTATGTTTACTGGGTAATTCCAAGAGAATCCTTTACTATTCAGGTCACTAAACTCACTTAATTCAATCCCGCAGCAGCATAACCACAGCTGACCGTGCAGGGCTGTAATGCTTCTTTCTTCAGGGCATTATAATACCACTCTGGAGACTTTCTACCTACCTCACTGTAGCCATTGTAGGATCTTCCTCCCCTTTTCTGCTCCAAATGGCAGATTACCCTGGGACTTGGTCCCCGCCATTCCGATTATCATCTCGCTCTGCACTTTCTCCTTGAGTAATCAGTAATCGCAACCTCTGTCAAGGCTTAACAACAGCCATGACTCACATTTTTACCTCTGGGTTTGAATTCCCTACTGAAATTCAGCATCACAGAGTTGCCAATCTGACACCTCCACTTTACTGTCTCACAGGTATTTTAAACTTAGAGTGCTTGAAATCGTATTGTTGATGACCATCTCCCCAGCTGCACCCAAACCCGCCCCTCTCCCAGAATTCCTAAATCTCAGTGGCGACCATTCAACCAGTTGCTCAAGCCAAACTTCAGAGAGTCATATTCGTTCCTCCTCCGCTCACTACATCCAATGTATCAGTTAGTTTTATCAATGTCATATCTAAACATACCTACTTTTCTCCATCTCCACGACAGTCACCAATAGCCTCCTTAATGGACATTTTGATTCTATCTTGCTTCCCACCCCAATAATCCATTTTCCATGAGGCAACTAGGTGTTTTTTTTAAATGCAAATTAGAACAAAATCATGCCTCTCATAAGTATAAAGTCTCGCCATGCTTTTCTAGTACTTTACCATGGGCTGAGGTGCTCCGTAACTGAGTCTCTGCCTCTCTCTCCAACCTTATCTTCAATGTTCCACCACCCCATCCACCTTCTGCTCCATGAACTTACCAGTCTGTTCTGACCTCAAGATGATAATGCCAGCTGTTTCCCTGACCTAATACTATTTTCCTACACCTTCACAAGGCTGGCCCTTTCTTGCCATCTAGGTCTTACCTTAAACATCATCTGCTCATTAAAGCCAGCTAAGACTACCCAATATAAAGCAGCCTCTGTTTCACATTTATCAGGGACTTTTATTCCTTAATGCCTTCTTGTTAACTTGTTACATATTTCTCTCTACCCACCAAAAAGAAAGCTCTGTCCATGAAAGGAAGAATCTGTATTCAAGCATTGTATCTCTAGTGTCTAGAATTGTGTCTGAAACACAGAAGGCCCTTAATAATAAATATTTGCAGAATACTGGATCTCACAGATACCTTTTCCTACATCTATGGGATCCCCTTTGCTGAACTGTGGGAAGGGGCATAGGGAAAGGAAGGCTCCTAAGACCAAAAAAATGGTCTTTTTCAATTAAAACCATCTTTAACATTATACTTCAACCAGATAACTCCCATGGAGCGAGGGAAATAAGAACATGCTCAAAATTGGTAATTACCAGAAGCATTAATGAGATTATTATGTAGTATTTCTATATATTTTTAAACTTCCGTATCTAAACTCTTTTTGAGTACCAAAAAACCACTCATCTGAGATCTAAGCTGATTTAATTCACACAGCTATATCAGACCTGGCTAAACGATGTTTTCTAAAAACATTAAGTAAAACATAATCTTTTGATATTTATTACTTCGTTAGCTACTAACTAGAGTATCACGAGAGCAGCTCACCTCCACTCTTAGGTCTGTAAGACTTAAAATAACCAGACAACCTCATTACTCTTAGTGCTGGGGAAATTAAAAACCATTTTTTGATTCCCAATGCAGGTTTTATTTGCTCCAGAGAATATGTAACCATTCCTAATGCCTTTAAGAGATGACTAGCAAAAAGAAAAGGAAAATCCCAAACCTTTTGTAGTTCTGTTGATGTGACAAAAATATTGCAGGTCAAGTAGCCTTTTGTTTGACCTTTGCTGTCCCAGTATATCATCAAGTGGATAGGGTCACACTTTTGAGTCTCGAAGAAAACAAAAATAAGCCTCAAGCTACCTAACTTCTTCTCTAAAGGAGCTCTTTGGAAAAGGCTAATTTCTCAAAAATGCCTTAAAACTGGAAACAACTGCTCAAATCTGGTTTCTCAGAAATCTGAACAAGATGTTCAAAGCCTTGGTTTCCTGCCTTAAGCAAAAGCTTCCCAGAGCAGGAAACTCATGTGCCTTGATCGCCAACACACCGAACAGCCCTCACCCATCAGGACCTACTGGCTAAGTGTGCTTCTCTAGAGCAGCATTCTACTTGTCTATTTGGTTTTCTTTTTCTTCGGAAAAGATTAAGGAAAAAGAGTGTTTCTAGCTACCCTCCAATTTAAAAATAGTGCTACAAGCAGAGATGTGGTCAATCTTTTAATAAAAATTGTTTAAGTTCTCTTCACTTTTCCCCAGGTCCTTCTCAACCCAACCCTGTCCCTGTGTTCTAACGCAAAGAAACAATCTTCACTAATTGCCCAGTTTTTAATCCCTCTGAGCTATAACAGAATAAAGAGAAGGGCAGGCACCTGCAGATAGCAGCTGCTTCAGAATATCAGATCATGCTGTGTAAGGGCCCTTTCACCTCCTTTCAGTGGCTTTCGGATGCATGAAGAAAAGTTCAAGTCCTACACACCTGGAAGAATCTAGAACCATTCCCTAAGAAAGCTTGGTTATATTTCATCATCAGCAGTGTTTAAAGGGGCCGTGAATAAAAGCAGATTACGTGGTGAATGCCCTTGCACTGATCTCGCTGGTTACATCCTCTCCCCTACGTTTCAAAGTGAATGAGCTATTAGACATTAGCCAGGAAGGTAGAACAGGCTAGCCCAAGAAAGCCAAAGCCAAGAAAAGCCACAGGAGGGGATTCAGCCACTGAGTCAGGGCCCTGCACGTTCCTGTCCACAGAAAGTGGTCTACTTGTCCTTGGACAAGTGCCAGAGCAGCAGAGTCTTACAACTTCTGACATGATTTCTGTTCCATCCCCCTTATGTTACGTCCCTGTAGAGCAATGTTTCCAGAAGGGAGGCTGCATCAGAAACAGACTAGACTTTTGCTGAAAATGTGGATTACTGGTTCCTGCTGGCTCCCTCCCTGATGAGTTGAGATCCTGGGGGAAGAATTTGCATTTTTAAGCGCTCCAAATGATTCTTATGTCTTTTAAGGTACAGTAACATGGCTCTAGAGTATTTATATATCGCCTTGCTATGTACCCTCTTGAGTTAAACCATTAGGAAGAGGAGTATAAAGAAATTTTGTAAAATGAATTCAAGTCCTCTCTCTGACAGCTACTATACTACCATGACCTCAAGTAAGACACTTAACTGATCTGGGCCCCTTTCCCTCACTGGGAGTTTATAGGTATCAAATAAGCTTGTGGATGAAAATGTACCATATAAACCCCCCAAAAAATAAATGAGTGTGATCTGATAATTATTACTAGCACATTATGTGTTCATGTAACACTCTAAGGTATTCCTTTGGATATAAAATGCATATCTAGCTTGAATGTGCAGAAATACTTCCAGCAATAAGCACTCATATATGTATATGAATCACATCTTTCATCAGGCTCTTGGTTTTCTTCAGGGTAAAGTTCTTCAGTGGAAGTAACAGTAGCTGCTAAATATTGCTGAGAACTTCCTGCACACCACGCTGAGCACTGGATGCCCTCTCCCACATCATCCTGAAACAACTGCAATGAGAAAATGGGCTCAGAGGTGTGAAGTCACTCATGAAAGCTGTACATGTGTCGGTGGTAGCTGTCAGGCCCCACAGCCCCTGCACCTGACAACTACGTTATTAGAATGATCATCATTTCAACCTGTCACACTAATGGTCTTTGAGAAGAGAAGTGAATTAGCATTTCTAAAGTGAAATATTTCATCTCTGAAACTACAGAAACACAATCAACCACCTAACACTCAACTCCGCCAAAGGTGAGGGTGAGCAGAATGGAAGGCTGCAGGTATTCAATACATCAGTGGAAGCCTAAGAATTAGCACAGCAGTTTTAAGGTCTCTGCCAGTGAAAGGAGATGTTTATTTTCTCTCAAAGCTACAACGGCAGAAAGAGGGGTGTACCTCCTAGAGCCTCAAATTTTTCACAATGGTTCCTACATTCTAGCTGCTGACAGTAACTTCAATCTTTAAATACAGCCAGCTAGGTTGCTACTTTAAGTCTGACAATGAAAGTCACAGGAGACTGTTCTTTTTAGTATTTCAATAGTATTTTCTTTTTCACTTACTCAGAGAGACAAAGGAAAAAATGTCATGTTTCCTTCTGCCTTTCATCAACATTCTAATTTATTACAAAGAAAATGGGTGGAGAAAAGAAGGTCAATCTACAAATGCTAGTTATTAGACTAACAATTATGAAACCCTTAACCACTATTTGTTTTTCAGCCTACAGTGTTCTGGTTGAACACTGTAGGCTGAATTAATTCTTGGATTAATCATTTTCATCCACGTTTGGGTTTGCACAGCCTCACCAGTAGTGTGTGTGCATGTGCTCTAACTCCACCCCACTCGCAAAAGGCTTACAGCCAAAATCTGACACTCTTCAACTGAAAAGGCCTTGCCGAGTGAGTTGTACAGCCTAGCTGAGAAGCAAGGAACCCTGGATCTCTTCTCCATGTGGTAAGGATACCAGCTTCCCAGTCTCACCCTGAGCACTACAGCCAACATCTAGGAAGCATAACATTTTGGAGCTCTCGTTTGTGATACTTTCTGCTGTGTTCCTGGCACATCTGAACACACTGAATTTTTAACTCACATCTGAGAACCTGTTTTTGTTGGATACTTGCCTTTTCCTCCTATGGTGGGCTTGCGAGTGATACCCTTGGATAAAGGGATTCTTTATACATTTTTTATGGAATGTTACATCTATCCTTTGCTTAATCTCAGCCCTGCTCTATCACTTATGACACTCTCCCCCTAACAAAAACAAGTTTATCCAAATTTACACCTCCTTCACAGCTGATCAACAACTGTGAGAGAAGACGCATAAAAGATCATAATATATTGGATTGTATCAATTTCATAGCAATACGTTTACAGGAATAGAAATTAAATCACCATTAATAGATTGTCCTTATATAAATAGAGAACGTGAGAGGAGAGAAGATTGTCCTCTTCTGCTGAGAGAACAGACAGGAAGAATAGGTAGGGCATGACTCTACAAACCTCAAAAGTGGTTGTCATTGTGGGCTTATAGGACACATGGTTGGCCCTTCTCAGCTCCTTGATAGTTTCAGCGGGCATGGATTTAGAAAACCCAAGGCCACTCCAGGTATTTGTGGGTGTTCTGACCTCCGTCACCACTGGTTTCTTTAACATAGCTTTGGAAAACAGAACATAAAACAAATGTTTGGTATTTTTAATGAATTTCTTAAATAAGATACTGATGAGTATTGTTTCTTCGATATATGTAAAGAAATTATCACTGAATATTATTTCTTAACACAAAATGCCTTAAAATATCCTCATAAAACATTTTATACAAAGTAATGGTAAACGTTAAAATGATACATTATTTCTTAATTGATCTAATGCTAATCTACTCAACCTCAACAAAGTTTGTGCAACTTGAACCTAAACATTCTGGATTCCTTTTATGAAGGTCCAATTTCTCAGTTCAACATCAACACTGAAAAACCTTTTATGTGTTTACTGAAAAAAAAATCAAAGTTTAGATCATTAACGTGTCACATACCTTTGGTTGCTAATAGCTTTTTTTGTTCATAGTCAAATGCCTGAAAAAAAAAAAAAAAACAGAGAAAATATCTTTATTGTCGGTCTATCCAAATGTTATGCCAATCCTTCATGGAAAGATTTTGACTACAGCCCATGAATCTGCCTGGGGCAAAGGCTCAGCTCTGCACCAGAATGTGACAGTAATCCATGCAAGTCTGATAAACTTAAACATGTTTTCAAAACTAATTCATTGGGCTTCCCTGGTGGCGCAGTGGTTGAGAGTCCGCCTGCCGATGCAGGGGACATGGGTTCGTGCCCCGGTCTGGGAAGATCCCACATGCCGCGGAGCGGCTGGGTCCATGAGCCATGGCCGCTGAGCCTGCGCGTCCGGAGCCTGTGCTCCGCAACAGGAGAGGCCACAACAGCGAGAGGCCCACGTACCGCAAAACAAACCAAAAAAACAAAAAAGACTAATTCATTATAATAATAAAGTACTACTTCCAACTTTAAGTCATGACAGTGACAAAAGTTAGAAATTTTCCTTCAAAAAGAAAAAAATTCCTATTTACTATGAAATATTTAACACACCAGGACCAATATATGCTAACGTATAGTGAATAACCTAATAACAGTTATGCTAAGTTTCAAAATAATGCATTATCAGAATGCTTAAGCAGTACACTAAAATTAAACCTAAATAAAAATATAAACCTAAATTAAAAAAAATAAAACTTAGTTATCCTTTATTGCACAAGACTAGGATGGCACCATTTATTCTTCCCATTCACATTGAATAAGTGACTGTGACACAGTCGGGTCTACATAGGGACCAAGGTAGGTCATTTTGAAGAAAGAAGTCCAGATATAGCTACATCTCAAATGCTAACCCAGGGTTCTCAACTCGCCAATTCAGGAACTAGCTTAGACTTGATTTAAGAATGTCTCTTGTAATAAACTATAACGGAAAAGAATTTTGTTTAAAGTATATAGATATATACATATATGTATAACCAAAATCACTTTGCTGAAACTAACTGAAACTAACACAATATTGTAAATCAACTATACTTCAATAAGTTAAAAAAAAAAAAGAATGTCTCAAAGGCCTATCAGATGGGTCAAGAACCCACTGGCAAGAGCTCTTTGGACCTTCCTCCCAGGAGGACTATACCATCATATGTAGGGTGTCCATATAATTTATGGTCTGAAACAGGATACTTCTGAAAGTGAAATGTACTACAAATGATTAGGCCAAAATAATAAAAGTAAACAGGCTGACCTAGACCAACCAGAAGGAACATGGCAGTAAATTGGGAGAGTCAGATTTTTAGATAACACAGTTTGATAATGTTTTTGAAATCCTAGGTCTAAAATGATTCTGGGAGTTAAAATCAACTTGTAATGACTACTGTCTAAGGGCAAGATGTGGGGAGATGCTAAAGTTACTTGTTCAGTAAATATTTATTGAGTGCCTTCTGGCTAAAGGGACTGTGCTGCACTTTGTGTAAGAATATTACAATGAACCAAAACTAATCTATAGCCTCAAATCATATAGAGGCTTAGCAGGGGTGAGTAAGAAAAATAACCACAAAATAAATTAGAAAGTGAGATAAGTGTGAAGAGAGAGCTGGAGATATAGAAGTCCAAGAATGATCAGGAGACAGAGATCATCTTCAGCTATTAAGCAATCAGGGAAGTCTTCAAACTGTTATCACTGATTTCCTGGTGATTTTAAGAGTCACTTCTTCACTAATGGCGTAAATACATCTATTTAAATTGAAACTCTATCACTAAGAACATTTACATCCATCCTAAAAGAAAGGAACACGAAAGTGGTTCACTATAGGTATACACCCGATGGAAAAGACGAGAATCACAAGATGGATGAAAACCATAAAGGGATCATAAAGGAATCTGATACTTCTTAGATGAGAGAACTTTAATTTATAACAACTGAAAATAAATCTTCCAGAGAAAATGTAATAAATGTCTTTTTGTTTAACTTTGCACTTTATAAAGGCTATGGCTTTTGTAAAAAACATTCATCTAAAAACTCTTGAAAATGTTCAAATGCAAAGGACTAGAAAACCAGACAAGCAGGATTGTACTGTAGTTTTCACTGGAATTACAGAAGTATAATTTAGTCCCATGAATTAATTTCTTTGACATATCTGTGACAACTTCTTTATTTCTAGGATTTTGTGAAATTTTTCCCTTTTTTGAAAGTGGGGGGATGGGAGATGATCAATCCCTTACTACAAAGTAGGTAAGTCTACCCAGTGATTCAGACACTGAAATCAAATGTTTAGAGGCATCCCTAAAAGCACAAAATCCTTATCTTTCATATTGTGATCTATATGAAGATCAGATTTCTGAATTTCATGATCATTGGTCTATTTTGAGTAATTAGCCTAATACTTTGAAAATGGATACAGAGAAAATCCCTGCTGAGGAAACTGTTCAAAATTATCATAAAAATCTGTGAACCAACATAACCATCAATAATATTTAGCATCTCCTTTCAAAACACTAAAGCTTCACATTTGTTATTTTTATAACTGTCTAAGGAACACCAAATTTATCTTCTCCATTTCACAGATAGAATATTATATCTATTTATCCAAGACTACGTCATGAGATAGTAAATGCTTAGAAATAACAGCTCTCATATTTATCTACATTTTTTTAAACAGAGGAAAAATGTCATTTGCATAAGACACAGTGACACAGACCATGTCACTTTTAATATTATATTTTAAAGAATTCTTCTCAAACTAAATCTTGCATTTCAATTTTTTTTTTTTCTTGCAGTAAGCGGGCCTCTCACTGTTGTGGCCTCTCCCGTTGTGGAGCACAGGCTCCGGACGCGCAGGCTCAGCGGCCATGGCTCACGGCCCAGCCGCTCCGTGGCATGTGGGATCTTCCCGGACCGGGGCACGAACCCGTGTCCCCTGCATTGGCACGCGGACTCTCAACCACCGCGCCACCAGCGAAGCCCTGCATTTCATTTTTAATGTTTATAACAGAACCAATTCCTAACTACTGCATATATATTTAAATTAAATTTCTGGTCTACTGCTAAAAGCTCACTGAATTCCCCATTCCCCAACCTAGGCAGCCTACATTTGGATGACTTGTCCATTTTTTTTTTTTTTTTTAATCATTACCTGCATGTTGACATATGATGGCCGTGGGGCAAGGCGGGCCCTTTCATTGTTCTGCTGGGCAGCGGCAGCCCTCTCTGCAGCACGCTCACTCCCTGGAGCCTTCTTGTCAGCCAAAGGGCTTTCTGCAGTACTCAGCTCAGGCTCTGAGAGCAACCTGTCAGTGCTGCTGTGAAAGAGAGTTTGGGATTGAACACTCCACCATTACATACAAATGTAGCACACACTTCCTAGGTGCCACATTGACTATGTAGGTTTACCACCGTCAACCATTTACATGTATTATCTCATTTAATCCTCACGGTACTGCTATGAGGAAGGCAGTCTTATTATCCCTATTTTTCAGATGAGGGGAGTACCTTGTCCAAGGTCATACCTCTGGTAAATGGTAGAGCTGGGATTTGAACCCAGACTTTCTGACTCCAGAGATGGTGCTGAAACTATTTCATGATCTGTATTCACACACATTAAATATAGCATGTATGATACACTGTATGCAGTACATATGAAATAGACATACAGACAAGATTTCTAATTTACATACATCAAGGAGATATCCCTGACCCATGTTTACACAGTCTAAACAAACTGAGTCAGTCTGAAGGAATGCAGATGATCCAATTCATTTGTGTGCAATATACATGATATTGCTAACAAATCTGCTATGATAAAGGCAGCAGGTAAATATTCTTTAACATCTGTTCAGGGTGCAGGGAAAGAACATGAAAGTGCTTCTTAAAATGGGGGGCAATTATCTGAATTATAAGAATTTATAAAGCCCTATATATACATGCACCTCAAGTTCACATCCAACTGCATGTTAGGCTCAAGTAAAACAGAACTAACCAACAGTATTAATCCAAGAGCTGATTTGCTCACACATTCTTCTTTTTATCATTCACTCTTCAGTTGTACCAGGGGAATTCAGAGGAATTTAGAAAGGACTATTAGAATACAAAAGGAGCAGCAAAGAACTTTGTTTGACAAAAGTTCAGAGAGGCTTCACACAGGCGTGGGACCTGGAATTTAAAGGGCATCTGCAGGTTCGCCATTGTGTAACAGCAACTCAGAGGGAACAGCATAAGCAAAGGAAAGGAAGTGTGCAGTAACTGGTGGTTTCAAAGCCAGAGTGTGACAAAAATTACTGTAACAAAATAAAGGATTGATAGAGCTGATAAGAGATCGGAGACAGGCAGACCATTCTGGAGGTTGCAGCTTAATTCAGATGAGAGATAATCAGTTCACACTTACACACTCAATGAACACATTTAGTGATGAAAGGAACAGGTGGAACAGGTATATACTTCAAATGCATCAACACAGAAGGGAAAACAAAATCACTTCTCTAACCTATAATAAATAATGTTAATTTGGCGTATTAGTATCATGTTAAGAAAAACACAAGTAAAGCAGATTTGGACAAAATGGTAACAATGGTAGTTAATCAAAGAGTTTATAAAAGTAAAACAGATTTTGCTTTTTATAAAAGCAAAACAGATTTTGCTGAGAAAAAGAGGAAATAAGAATATATATTAACACAACACTGGACATCAACTATACTGCAATAAAAACAATTTTTTAGTTAAAAAAAATATATATATGTTATATCTGCCTAAACACACTCTATTCTGTAACGATATAAAAGACAGTAGAGGAAATTGGGTAGATGAAGTGGATGGGACCAAAACCTTTCGATGTAAAGCATTCCACTGTTTTGCATTTTTAAAATGTGAATAGACTGCCTATTTGAAAAAAATAAAATAAGTGGGAGAAGTAAGGATAACACATTTGTTATCCCTAATGGTGCTATGGTAAGGGAGAATTATATTTAATATAACATATGCATTTATACTCACTGTGATTTGTAATAAGTAAAATCATGATACTGCCAAGTATTTATTACCAAAGTGAACAATTCACTACCTTGGAACAAGGGAGCCATAGTTTAAGTTGGAAATTCAAAGCCAAATGAAGGAGAATTCACACTAAGAAAATTTCTTACAGCAAAATTCGGAGAGTTAAAATTCCCCTGCTGATTACTGAAGAGCAGAGAGAATGCTAAAGTTTCAGAGCAAAAGAGATGATTTAGGGAATCCAGAAATAAACCCAACCAGCTAAAGGAAGGGGAGAGATGACAGAGAAGATTTAAGGGCACTAAAAGGGAGACATCAGGCCTAAAATGGAGTCACTTGTGCTAAACCCCACATCAACAAACCAAGACTTGATACCTAACCTAACGGCAGTTTCAGCCTCTCGTAGGAATGTAATCTTAACCAGTCCTGTCTGGAATTTCCTGGCCAACACTAGTGAGGTAATCCACCAGACAGACAGCTGCCTTCTCCCAAAGGAAGGTAACCTTGCCTGAAATAATCCTTTCTTTTCTTTATGACTTCCTTGTCTCTCCTTTTTTCTCCTTTTAAAATGTTTTCTTTTCTGCAGCATTTTGGATCTCCTTTCTATTTGCTAGATGGGATTCTGCCGATTCATGAATTGTTGAATAAAGTAAATTTGATCTTTAAACTTACTCAGCTGAATTTTTTTTAACAGATTTGATGGCAGTAATAGGACTGAAGGAGACTTCCAATAACTCTGGGAATGAGAAACACAGGTGTGGCACCTGCAAACCCTTTCGAGTTCTGTCTCTCAGTGCTTCTGAGGACTGTAGGTAACTTCCTCTCAGTTCTGAGCTCTGCTCTCTTTGCACTGAGCTCCCAGTCTAATTGGCTTTCCAATACAGGGCAGGTCAGCTGGGTCAGGCAGATGATTCTGCCGGGAGCTCAAGCCCCTAGCCTTTATTTCAGACCACAACAGTCAATTAATTGGTGGAAACCCCCAGGCCTTGATTCTGTCCCATGATCCATGTGGGAACTATCAGTTCTCCATGTATGTGGAACCCCTAGTCCTCAGTCTCCATTTGTTGAGGTCTGTTGGTTCAATTCTTTCCCCAGGCCAAGGTCCCATGGCCTTGGAATTGGTGGTGGTATACACGAGACCTTTACCTGGCTGGGACACAGCAAAATCCTTTGGTTACTGCCAATTTGTTAAGGTGCATGTGTGTGTTTATCTTGTTTTCTGTAGATAAAAGCTACCACTAATAGGAATCTCAGAAGCCAAAAAGCCACAAAAATTCGTGGGCATGGGTGAAGCACTGAAAAGCCGATAAAGTACTCTCCACCTAACTCAAAGGACTCCCGTGTTCAAATAAGCCGGTCATGGAACAGGTTAGCTTGACACTAGGTCATCCACCATCCTCAAGAAGATTTCCGTGCAACAAGGTTCACTGTAAAACACCACACCAGGCCCACAGCGCATCCTTCTTAGATATCCATCTGGCTCCCCCAAACCCAAAACGGCTTAGCTGAAAGAAATGGGATCCTTAAAATTCAAAGAGTTAAGCACTCCACCTTCTGGTACACTTGCTTATTTTACATCTAAGAACTATGGTCCTGGAAGCTATAATTATCTATAAAAATGGCAAAGTGTTACTAAAGATGACCTACAATTAGAATGGCCATTACGAGTAATGTTCCAATTATATAAGATCATTTAAGAAGTGCACTTAAAAGCAAGGACTCCCCACTCCCCCCCCCAAAAAAATGGTACACCTATTTTAATTGGCATGCAGAAAACTCCAAAAGGCTTCAAAATTCCAAAATAGCTTCAATGAAAGATTCATTGCAAAAAGGCTAATGAAAAATTAAAGACACAAGAGGTACCTAAAACAAGAGACAATAAGACTGACATAACTACTACTGCTCCCCTCTATCCTCTTTTTTTTTTTGGCCATGCTGCACATGTGGGATTTTAGTTCCCCAACCAGGGATCAAACCCCAGGCCCTCAGCAGTGAGGGCACAGAGTCCTAACCACCAGCGAACTCCCTATCCTCTTTTATATGAGTACTCACTCCAGTAATCCTGTCTAAATTTCCTTTCCACTCTGAAGAGACTAGAAGATCACAAACAAATGTCTGACAGGTTAGTGGTCATGCAGTGAAACCACTGGGACCCTGTGGGGCTCCTGGGCATGGAAGCCTTTCTGTGTCCCCTGTTTCTTGTTTGCAGGGAATAGACTCCAGCCTCTATGACCTTCCCTGGGTTCCAAAGGGCAGATTGGAACAGTTGCTAATTAGGGAAGGAAGGGGATACAGAGACAAGGGAGGAGCAGTCAAGAAACAAGAGTGCAGGCCTTGGTGCAGGTCCTGGTTCCCCATCAAGGGATACACATAACAATATCTTTGAGCTCTTCTGCAGAACTAAAACCTCCCAAAATGGAAGATGTTAATGACTTTATGAAGCATTCTTTATTCCAGAGAGAAAGTCACAGTTTGATAACCTTCAGAACCACAGAAGCTCATCAGGAGACCACCTGAGGCCAGATTAAAGGAGCGCAGGCCCTGCACACACCCTGCTCCTATCAGCAACCCCACCCTTGAGCCACTGCTATAAGAGTCCTCACCAAATCCCCCCGGGTCAGGACACACAGCTTTTCAGGGCACGAGCCCGCTGTGGCCCCCTTTGCCTGGCAAAGCACTAAAGCTGTTCTCTTCTACTTCACCCCACGCTCTGTCTCCGAGATTCGCTTCAGCACCGGGGCACAGAGGCTGACTTTTCAGCATCAACAGACACCCTCATATCTACCCTCAAAGGAGGGCCCCTGAATGAGCCCCTCCCAGAAGTGATGAGATTCTGAGGGATTTTCTTATAAACTGCTACATTATTACCTTAAACAGCTAAGGGAAACTAAATTAAAATTCATGAAAGACCTTGCCAAATTCTGGTAGATACTAGAGCTACACCCTCTATTTTAAACCTCACTTGGAGCCTGTAGGTGGAATCCTGGGAAAACTGGCAGAAGCCCACGAAGGGAGAAAATTCTTACCAGGGTCAGCTCTCCTGGGTCTCTTGTCTGTAGTACCCAATAAAGAGAGGAAAATAAAATATTTTTTGCACCCTCTTCTGGAATACCTCTTAAGTCTAAGGGGTTGTTCAATACTGCCAGAAATATTTACTGCTTGTCCACACTGAAAACTGACAAGATAGTTAAAAGATTTTTTTTTAAGTAGCTCTGCAGTCAACAGTTGGTCAAAAATTGGAAGCTGATATTCAGAGGCTGATGGGAATTTTTTTTACATCTCCTCCCTTAAACTAAAATTAAACTATGCACTCAGA